CATTGTAAATAGTACTTCAAGCTCTTTAAGCATACGTATCACTTGTTTTTTAGCATTGGAAATGCTTATGTTTTGTAGGGGTATGAATTTACCAGGTTTGCCGAGTAGAAAAGAAGACAAGTGGTGTCGCGTCTAGTGTTGAATGTACCGTACTCGATTGCAATGGGTAGATTCAGGAAAAGTGGCGGATACTGTCGATACGGTACTTACTTAACAGTGCGCAGGGATTTTGTTAATTCGAATTTAAAATTCTCGCCACAGAACACTCGCACATCGCCCTTTACAAGCATGTTATGCCGCTTATTATTCAGAAAGTTTGCGACACGAGCGAGCTAGCGAGCGAGTGGAGCAAGATTATTTCATGTGAATAAGGGTTATTTATGGCTTTATAGGTTATACGGTTATTATTTCCAATATCTCCGATGGTTGCAAGGATTGCGAAATCTGTGAATTTTTTGACTATGTAGCTTTATCAGAAATTGAAAGCAGAGTATATTTTCTTCTTACACATTTTCCTATCTCCAATAATAAAAGAATTATACGGTTGGACACGCAAAATTAATCACACTGTATAGAATGCACTTGAGGTATAAAAATCGCATTTTTGTGACGCTCATTTTGCTATTCAGAATAGGAAACACCAAGGCAATGGTGTACGTAAAGTCTTAAATTCTTCCATTTATAGGAAATTTGAATTTATCCTAATTATGTTTATTGTACAGGGTCCGGCAAAATGATCTCCCACATTTTGCACCGCCACTGTGCCAGAATCACTGAAGAGAGGGGGAGCTTAGTGTAGTCGGTTGGTAGCTCTGGCCCTGCCATTTCAGTTGTCAGTCATGAATTGGACGGGTGAGCATCGTGCCTTTGTTATTGAAACGTTTATGAAAAGTAACGAATCTGTGATTACGACGCAAAGAACATTTCGTACTCACTTCGCGCTTGGTAGACTTTTTCTTTTTTTTTTGGGGATACCTGAAAGCGAAGGTTTTTCAACACCATCCCCGAACCATTGACGAATTGAAAGCAGCAATACGCCAAGAAATTACAGGAATATCGCCTCAAATTACTGCTCGAGTGATGGAAACTTTCAGAAATCAGCTTCGAATGTGTATCGAAAAAAATGGTCGCCATTTGGACTCTGTAATTTTCAAAACTTAATAAAAACAAATGGCATAGAATACATTTTCAGTTAATAAAGACAAAATCTATATAACATTTACAATGGCGTTTTTATTACAGATTAAAATGTGGGAGATCATTTTGCGGGACCCGTAGTTAAGGAGTCACTGAAAAATCTTTCCCACAAACGTTGATAAGTGAAGAAAAAATGAATGATAAAATTAAAGATTGCTATAACACAAGTATAGTATCAGCACATATAAAATATTCAATTTTATCTGTGGTATATATCGGTCGTTTACTTTTGGAGTACCAAACAGTCATGGCCTTTTGAATAAACTACTTAAATAGGTTTTGAATAATCTGGTAAAGTAACTAAAAATATATATATAATGAGTGTATGAGTAATGACGCTTCGTCAGTAGATAAACTCATATTAAAATTGTTTTTGATAATTACCGAAATTTGTTAGTTTCAAATATTTTGTCTATGAGGAATAAACCCCTACAGAAGATCTAAAAAAGCGGTAGAGCACCTTGGTGTGATCCTACGGGGTCACTGGATTGGATCCATTTTTCATAGGTATTTTACATGTGGTAATAGGTCAAATGTGCAAAGTTTGAACCGAATCGTCCCAAGCGTTTGGCAGTTATCGTGTTCACGGACAGACAGACAAACACCATCGACTCCCCTATAAAAGTTGCATCGCTTTGTTCTGCCGCTTAATAATACCAGCAATGAGCGACTTTATATTTTAAGTGGATTCTCTTTAAATTCAGATTAACAGCGGTCCAGTTCAAGTGCGTAAGAGTGATGGATTACTCAGACAGAAGTGAGGAGTGGGTGGATCATAATATCCTGATCCCTCTCCATATTGGGATCTATGAGATAACTATTTTCTGCCGTTTTCCGAATTCCGCAAGAGTCAAGCGATCGCACCAATTATAGCTCAAATTGCAGTTCAGTCAGTAAGGATTTTTGCCCTACAAAAGGCGGTGTAGTAGTAATGTTGTTAAGGTCTGGTCCTTGAAACAAAATCCATGTTTTCGACCTTTAGGGGAGGGAATGTAAAGAAGACACCCCTTACATTTTTTTAATACACCTTTTTTTACTTCTAAGGGTACGTTTATGTTGGTGCTGCGAGCTGCGAGCAGCGCAGCGCTGAAAGCGGAGGGACGTTTTGCAAAATATTCTAGTAAATCGACGTGATTATGTTCAAACGGCCCAAACCCATAGGTGCATCGAGAAGAGCTAGTGTCGTTGTTTTTAGGGTGGATATTATATTTTTTTCATCGCTGCTCTGCTCGTAGCTCGCAGCGCCAACGTAAAAACGTACCCTTATATGTTCCGAGTTACGGCGGCGGAAATATGAATATGTTTGTGAGTTTTTTTTATGTTTCTGGATATTTATTACATATAGTTATAACAATGTTTTAAATTCAAAGTGTACTCATTTCCACACCACGGTGAGGTATAGAAAGTGGCGCGTTTTCATTGTTGTGGTATCACCGATAAATCTAAGCCACAAAGTTGTGATGCTTAAAGGTCTCTATCCACTACAACGTATCATACCATGACTGTAATAGGAACGTGCCAGGCAAAAAAATATTGGTTGCATGGAATAGTATGGGAGTATTATGCCCACTAGACCGTTAGTCACCGACCAGCAACGTAACGTGCCATGCATGGAGCGTCAACGAATATTTTGACGGTGCCGATACGCACCGTGCATGGCACGCGACGGTCCCAAACCGGTGCGCGCAGGCGCAGAAATGATGAACATATTCGTCATCGACTAGGTCTAAATAATGCCCAGTATTTTCCCTCGACTTTTCGTTTCGCACCCTCTTCCTGACGCGTTTGTTTACAAGTACAACCGCGCCAACGGGAACCGTACGGATACGACACGTGGATGCTACGGTCACTATAACCGTTACGTACGGGTATGATACTGTCTAGGGGGCATAGTAGTCCGTATCGTATATTTTCCGTGCCTTTCATAGTACGGTCATGATACGGTACGGTGTAGTGGGCCGATGCCTTAAACCACCATATTTTTCTTTGATGTTCCTGGCCGGTTTATGTTGCCGTCTTGATTGTATCATGATAGTGTTTCTGATCTGACAATATATTGTTCTTCCACTACTAGGTCCTCGTCATCTTCGTCCTCACTATCGAGTCGGACCACGCGCCGGTACACTTTCGCATGACTGACTTCTGCAGGACGCACACACAGAGCACAAACCATATTTCCTGAAACCACATGCTACGCCGCATCTCTTTCGACAAGTACCATTTTTGGACTTGGTGGTATGTCCTGAAGGCACGATACCGTACAGCGTCTCCGTTGGTGTCCACTGATACCTGATGAAACTGGAGGTGCAAACGTATATACCAATTCCCAACCCAACTATATTCCAACGATTCAGCCGATTGAAATGTATGGAGCTTAATGCAAGATATAATTTGTAATTGAGAGTATGTAAAATTTGTATGTTAGAGGTACCGTAAAATTTCGTTAGATTTTAATTTATCGTATTAAATCGATTACGTTGACTTTCAAAAAGAAGATTCTCTAAATTAGTCCAATGCCGCGAACGAGGGGCGAGTTATCTATCTCGGGGGCGAGATTCTGCCAACCGTACTTAAGGTAACAGCGTTGTTTACAGTTCACGCAAGAGAGCCCTACATTATTTGTTTGATCACGTGCCACTTTTAGATTTCACATTCAATCAGCACTTTAACACTTTAAATAAATACAGGTTTATTATAAATGATTCATCGGGTTTCAAAATGTTATATTTGATAAAGTATTTCACTTACAGTAATCATTGGTACATCAAAAGAAGCAGAAACTCTTCAAGTACACTCTCAAAATTACAAATGATCGATGTGTGCCTATTTGTCACACGTCCAAATGGTAATCTAGCTCAGACCACACATTTTGTAATATGTCCATGTCTATTGTTAGCACAGCAGCACTGATGCGTCTCTTAGATTCGTCAAGTGATCTTGGCACATAAACATAAACATGATCCTTAACATATCCACCTCATAGGAGGGAGTCACAAGCTGATTCATTTGTGGCAGTACGCCCGATCCAGTGTTCTAGAAGTTCGTCATTGAGCGACTTCTTCCTTTGGGGGTATATCAAGAATCATTTTTCTGTACCCTCAAAACCACGAAATTAGGATACGCATCAGAGCTGCTTTGGTAACAATAGCATGGATATGTTATAAAATGTGTGGTCTGAGCTAGATTATCGCATGGATGTGTGTCGTGTGGCAAATGGAACACACATCGACCATTTGTAATTTGAGGAGTAAACTTGGAGAGTTTCTGCTTCTTTTGATGTATCAATGATTATCGAATGTGCAGATAACATTTTGAAACCAGATTAATCAGTTATATAAGAATAACAGACTGGTGTTAGGAGTTACTTGTAGCTAAAAAGTGCAATGTACTCCTTGAAAATAGGCGCCTCAGCCAATGTTTCAACACATTCTTGTTCTTTTGTTTTGATGCTGACCTAGGCTTGAAAGTGAAAGACTGCAGCCTAGTTGAGATTTACGTACCCAAAACCACTTTAGATACGTTTGAAACACTAGTAGAGAAATCAATATTGCAAATCGTATATTTATGTATTGTGGGTTTTGTTTTCTTCACATACCTACAGTCATTATTTATAAAGTATTTAAGCAATGCTACAGTGTAACTGTAAGCCGAATAATCGCAAGGGGAATTAAAAATATCCGTAAGTACAAAGCGACTGTGGTAATTGATATGACGTGAACAATCAAAGTACCAATATAAATTACAGAAAGTTGACACATCGCGTCTTTTTTGTAGAATAAAGTGGAAAAAGAAATTGAACTTACTTGTTTAGTAACTGAATCGATAAGCCTCACGTAGATATCTTGCTCTTGTCGTACACCTAAAACAATAAATCAGTATATAACGCGTCAGTCGAAAGTAATAAAGGCAATTTGTGAGGAATGATGAACAAGAAAACAATTTTTACTAATATTTATTCTATACGACCGACGCGGCGGCGTTCCGCGCGCAGTCGAGAAATTATTACTTACTGCCACAATATTGACACACTGTCTTGCGGCTAGCTTTTGAATCATTAAAATGATAATGTTGAAGTTTACGACACGTCAAACTATCCCGATACTAATAGAGTTCGCTACAAGTATAGCAAGCTTTGATAAGAAAGCAGTGCGGGGGAGGTTGCGATAGCGCGAGAACAAAGACTCGGGCGGTGGTAAAGCCTTAGGGTTCGCCATCTTTCCAGTCCTAGGAGAGCATTTGTGGAGTTATTTTATTACAAATAAGGAGAGGAAGAGTGTTCCTTTGGGAAGTTGCTGAGTGAGGTGTGCTATGGCAAATGAGATACAACACCAGTTCGCTACATGTTACGCGCTCTTGTATATATTACCGAAATCTTCTGAGTTACTTCAAGTGTGTTTACATTTTAACAACTTTTACAACATATAAATTGAAGCGTTTAACTTTATCTTCCCGTTCATTTTTGTTCGGTCGTAAACATGAAGTTGTGAAATTGCATCGCGCCTTAATAAAAATGAATCAAACGGGCATGTTTCGGGATCGGCAATACAACAATTTATTTCACTTATTCTGCCTTGTTTCCATAGCGAAGCCTATGAATGAAACCTGTATTGACGGCGAACTTTATGTTCGAGACGGAAGCATCAATAAGGCAAATACTTGGAATGGTTTCATTTAAGAAGCGCGGATAGCAAATAAATATTAATTTTGCGTAGAGTAACAAAAGGGTTACTTCCCATTTTGGTGCATTTGATTGTCTAATTAATTTAATTGTAAATTTAATTAAAGTCAGGTTTGAAAAATATTTATTATTCATTTGGCGTCCTTATCCTGTATTCACTTCCTTATAAGTACAGTAAGCCGTGTTCTGTTCAAGTGTAGCTGTCGTTTTTCCATCAGGATCTAAAAGGAAATAAGACAGCGATGTGGCACACTGATAGAATTAATGGTCGGCTAATAAAACCGCGGATAGTCTAATTATAAAATTAATTAACGAAAAAAGACGAATTACATTTAAATTCTCCGGAGATAAGAAATTCTTCTTGAAACAGTGGGGGTGGTAAAGAGTTTACTAGGTTTACCCTTCGAGATGTTAGTGGTCGGTGTGGCTATTGTGGATTACGGAGTTATTTGTTTTAGGGCATGTGGTTTTCTTAGTTTGGACTTCAGGGACTACTTCTTAGTTAGATACGTGCATAATCAACCGTAGCAACTTTCCCTTTATGCGTACAGCATAAAAAAGAATGCACAACTTACCATTAGCATAAAGCAACTGAAGTCGATATTGAATTCCATTATTCGTTTTTGTTCCTTCAGATTCCTGTAACAAGAAAGTGAAAATAGAAATTCTTTATCATTTGGTTTTTTCCTACAACTATTAAATTACAGGTACACGAACAGAAACAGAAATTTATTATATCTCAAGTAAATAAAAATAACATTTTACGTAAAAATCACTCCGAAATGCTTCTAATTAATAATCCAGGTACTTATGCATACGTGTAGGTATTCAAAGCGGAAGCTTATATTGTTTCCTTCAAATCATATTATGCCCTACTTTAACAGACAGTACCTATTTTGTGAATATGTGTATCTTCGTGGCAGTAACGATAATCGGGTTTGATTATTCTATTAAATTAATCGATTAATCGATTATTTGATTAATCGGTTATTTGATTAATCGATTGTTTGATTAATCGATTATTTGATTAAACGGTTATTTGATTAATCGATTGTTTGATTAATCAATTATTAAGTAAATTTTAATTGATTATTATTAGCTGGATCATCAGTTTACGCAAAAAGGAGCACTCACAGCTCACAAGTATTATTTTATTTTATAGCGGATGTTAAAACGTCAATTTAAGCAGCTAAAATGAATTAAGATTGTATCATCAAAACTAAAGCACACCTCATCGAAGAGTAAGCTGCCTAATCATTTATTTTTATTTATTTATTTTTATTTTTGACCTTCATTTTCAAATGGACAGGGTTTCAGCCAAGGCTGTTCTACCAACCAACCCACTATGCATTTGCAAATATCCATGCCCGAACCCGGATTCGAACCAGGGACACTTTGTTGATTATTGATTAATCGATCTGACTAGTAATGAACGATTTGATGAAAAGAGTAATGGAATTATTTTTTATTTTTATTATTAAATAATTAACGTATTAATGCAACCAAACAGATATTTATCACTCCTTGTATGTGACAATCGACTTTTGATTAAACGATTAAGTGATTAATCGATGATTTGATTAATCGATTATTTGATTAATGGATTATTTGATTAATCGATTAATCAGTGTAATCGATTATTCAAACCCGTAATCGCCCAGCCCTAATTGTTAGTGCTAGATTAGTGCTGTTCGGTGCTCAAAAATTTCGACCCGCCATTTCATCTTTCCAAGAAAAAAGAAAAAAGCTAAAGTATTGTGTGAAGTTGGCCCCACCCATAACTCGTTAAAAAAATTATACGATCGTTAGTGATACCTTAGTGCTCTTTTGTGCTCGAATATTGCGAGTCTAACGTTTTACCTTTCCAAGATAAACAAAAAAAACTAAAATATTGTGTGAAGTTGCCCCCACCCGTGATTGGTTTTAAAAAAAAGAATAATACGATTGTTAGTGCTACGTTAGTGCTGTTTTGTGCTTAAAGATTACGATGCAGTATCTAAGAACCACGTGTTGTGTTTAAAAGTTTAAGTATATTTTATTTCTTTTACATATTGTCATAAATAAAACAAAATAAATAGGTATTATCGTGTACGAGCATTTTTTCGAATAAAAAATTCCTGAAATGAAAATAAAACTTAAAAATTTACTCCGTACATTAACACTAAAATCTTAGAAATAAAATAAAATTTTAGTGCACTATATTTCTGATTTACTGCTTACACAAGTTTTCATTATGTACATTACATTATGAACGAATGAACCGCAATACTTTATTCAAAGATGGTTGGAGCCGACAATGAAACGGAGTGTGATCTGTAGCGAAAAATGGATTGTTAGACTACCTACTGCGCATACAATCACCAAAGCATAGAGCACTGCACAAAAAAGGGACCGCTCTGTGTTGTACAATACATTAGCAATACGCAGACGGGTCTTAACCACGTCATCATGTGGTATAGTGTGGCGTTTAGTGTCATTGGTTGAGAAACTTTCTGACCATATTTGCCGTGTTTAGTAATATATGGCCTTCTGTATGTTTGTGTGTATATGAGAGTACGACCGGTAGGGTAGTATTGTTACTTATTCTAGCTTCCAGAGTTCTTTGAGTTCTACTCGTATTGCTAGTGGAGTATACTTGATGATCTTTTCTTGCTCTTTGTGTATGAGATTAAAGGTACAACATTTAACTTTCTCGTCATCGACTTATCAACACACCATTGGATACAATCAATCACAATTCAGAAATAAATACTATAAAACAAGTAGCGCAAAATTTCAATGGCTATAAGTATTTATTCACTTCTAATACAACATTATAACACCTTAAAAATAATTAAATTTTGATAGTAACCCATGTAGCTTTATTTTATTTTATACTTACCACTCAATACCAATGTAGAAATTCATCGAAAAAGTTAGAATTACTCATTTAAGACGTTACCCTTTTCTTAGGGTTACATATGGCGTAAGATGTAACTATATAAACAAGTTAAACTAGTTGTCAGGTAAACTCCTGACTTGACTTTCCGACTACTTTTAATAGTCATTGCAATTATTATCTTTGATCATAGTATAACATTTAGAAAATGCCCTCTAGCGCCTTTATTTTGAACCCAACGCAAAAAGTGTATAAGCTTTTTTGTAGATCTCATAAAGACCCATCTTTTATTGTAATTAACACTTTTCACTTTGATGCTTACTTTTACAGGAAAATGCAAATTAAAAAAATAAAATAAATAGTTTAACTTTTCAATTCAAAACTTCTTAAAAACAAAGGAACTCACAAAAAAATTGTAATGAAATTTTTTGTAGAGTTTTTTAAGCCATTTTGGCCAGTGTATGCGAAAAAAATTTAAAAAAATTTTTTCAAGCCTTTATGACTTTTAAACTTTTGACACCCCTAACAACCATGAAGATGGTTACGAATCAAAACCAAAATAGGAAGTTTTCGATTCCCCATACCACCCTATATGCACCGTCCAAATAGGTTCAGGGGTTTTTTAGTTATCGTGTTCACGAACCACATACACACACCCACACACACAGACGTCAAGCTAAAAATCACTATTTTGGGGTCTGTGTACTTCAAAACGTCCAGAAAACGCAATATTGGTATATCGAAAATTTATCACGATTACAATACTTTCCTTTATATATACAGGGTGGGGCAGAGGAACTTGATGATTTGTATTCGGCGTCCTTAGGCGACGGTTGCTCCGACGAAAGTGGGGATAGGTATATTTGAGAGAAGGGCATATAAAGTTTTTCCGCCGCGTGGTGTAGTCACCATCATGGAGTGAACGAAGGCGGAACGCGCGTTCGCCGTCGAGGCATACTTTTCTAACGGTCGCACAGTCATAGCCACGCAACGTGCATCCCGTACTTATTTTAATATCGCGCCACGTGGACGTAATCTTGACCGGCAATCGATTGTTTCATGGGAAACAATTTTAGGGAAACTGGTGATGTGAAGAAAAAAACCCTGGGCCTTCACGAACAGCAAGGACATCGCAAAACATTGATAGAGTAGGCTTTCTGTTTTGCAATCCCCTCGGCGCTCTGCACGCAAACATGCAGCTGCACTCAGGTTATCTGCTCATTCTGTGAGGAGAATCCTTCATGAAGAACTAAAGTTTCACCCCTATAAATTTGTCATAGTGCAGGAGCTTAATCCACGCAATGTGGTTGCTCGAGAAAATGCATGTGAGGCGCTTCTTGGTATGGCTGACGACCATTTGCCAGATATCATCTTTAAAACTGTCTAAACATAAACTTTAAATGTTGTACTTGATGATGGAAAAGTAATTAAATCAATATTTGCAAAGTTTTTGTTTTATTGAATTCCTAAATCAGCAAGTTCCTCTGCCCCACCCTGTACTTCGTATGTAGTCGGAAAGTAAAAAACTAAAACCATTGGCTCTAGCCAAATTCGTTTTTTAACTATATATTTAACCAATAAAATCCGTCCACAAGTAAAAAAGTTAGCACTGCGCATGCACAACCTATTCATGTCATTTCAACTTGATTTTATAAGAATCAATTTAATAATAATAATAATAATAATAATAATAATAATAATGTTTATTTCCACCAAAAAAAAAAAACAGAAAAGGGAAAAAAAAATACATACAAAAATAGAAATAAGCAAAAGGTGGAAAAAGGACCACATTCAGTGAGTAAGCACTGCTCTTCCATGTGGCCTAAACACGTAGCAAGCGTAAACACCTAACACATATATATATATATATTATGTACATGACACGAAAATATGCAAATGCAAATGCACGACCCCTCACATGCACTTAAGTTCCTAATACATACATAGTACCAATATAACAATTTTAAAAAAAGTAATAGACACAGAATAGGAGTTTTTGCAAATTCCTTACATCATGATTGAGATGCGAAACTGCAGCAATTCACTTTTTAATTTTTTCTTAAACATATTTAAATTCAAGCTCGTTAAATTGGGCGATAATGAGTTTACGACGTTAGCGATGTTATATGAAAACGATTTTTTGAAATTTTCTGTAGCGTGGAGTGGTATATCTAATAAGCCTCTGTGGCGCAGGTTGAGATTATGTATGTCGGTACGATAGCGTAATCGATCTAACAAGTATGAGGGAGTTTTTGTGTCTATTATTTTACGATATAATACTGCAGTGTGCAAGAACCTCCTTTCGGACATATTTAACCATCCAGCTTCTCTTATCTTATGTGAGATGTGATCACCACGCCTAATGCCATATATAAATCTCAGACACGCATTTTGAACCCTTTGAATTCTGGCAATCGATGTCGAATCTATACATGCACCATATACAGCGTCACAGTAGTTGAAATGCGATAGAATAAGAGCATCAGACAGATATATTTTTGTTTGAACAGATAGAATATGTCTATTTGGGTATAACCTTTTCAAGGTAGCAAAAGCTTTGCCCACACTACAATTTATGTGTTCTTTAAATTTTAATCTGTAATCTAAATGTAACCCCAAATTCTTAGCAACATCAGTGATTGTTAATTCCGTGTCTTGAATTTTTATTTTAATGAAGGGTATAGTACTGGCACGAACCTGATCACGTCCAAAAATCATTACAGACGATTTGCTAGAGTTGATATGTAGATTATGATCAAACG